AAAAGTGTTTTGCTTGCAAATTAGGTTAAGTGTTTCAATATATTAAAGATATGCAGTCACTCTGATTGTTCTCTCCTAAATGTTTATAATCATTTAAGGTTATTATTATTATTATTGAGATGAGGTTTCTCTGTCACCTAGGCTGGAGTGCAGTGGTACCGTTTACTGCAGCCTTGACCTCCCCAGGCTCAGGTGATTCTCCCACCTCAGCTTCTTGAGTAGCTGGGATTACAGGTGCACTACCACACAGGGCTAATTTTTTTGTATTTTTTATAGAGATGGAGTTTCTCCCTATTGCCCAGGCTGGTCTCCACCCACCAGCTTGGCCTCACACAGAGCTAAGATTGCAGGTGTGAGCCACTGCACCCAGCCTAAAAGTTATTTTAGCGAGGGATCTCTACTCCTACTTAGAATTACATATCAATACCATGGATTTCCCAGATTGGCCATATGTTAGAATCAGCTGAGGAGCTTTAAGAACAAACACTACTTTCTGAACTCTTTCCTGACTTACTGATTTTCAGGAAAATTTTACGGATTTGTTAGTTATTGACGGAGTCTCGCACTATCGCCCAGGCTGTAGTGCAGTAGCACAATCTCAGCTTACTGCAATCTCTGCCTCCTGGGTTGAAGCAGTTTTCCTCCCTCAGCCTCCTGAGTAGCTGGGACTATAGGCAAGCGCCACCACACCCAGCTAATTTTCTTTTTTTCCCCCTCCAACATGTGGGAAATTTTTTTTTTTTTTTTGGGACGGAGTTTCGCTCTTGTTACCCAGGCTGGAGTGCAATGGCGTGATCTCGGCTCACCGCAACCTCCGCCTCCTGGGTTCAGGCAATTCTCCTGCCTCAGCCTCCTGAGTAGCTGGGATTACAGGCACGCGCCACCATGCCCAGCTAATTTTTTGTATTTTTAGTAGAGACGGGGTTTCACCGTGTTGACCAGGATGGTCTCGATCTCTTGACCTCGTGATCCACCCGCCTCGGCCTTCCAAAGTGCTGGGATTACAGGCTTGAGCCACTGCGCCCGGCCGGGAAATTTTTTTAACAAGTAGCTTGACATCTAGTCAGAACATTTGAAATTAAAACCCCCAGTAGCCAGGTGTGGTGGCTCACGCGTGTAATCCCAACACTTTGGGAGGCCAAGGCGGGAGGATAGCTTGGGCCCAGGAGTTCAACACCAGCCTGGGCAACATGGTGAAATCCTGTCTCTACCCCAGAAAAATAGAAAAATTAGCCAAGTGTGGTGGTGCACACCTGTGGTTTCAGCTACTCGGGAGGCTAAGATGGGAGGATCACTTGAGCCTGGGAGACAGAGGTTGTAAGTGAGCCAAGATCGTGCCACTGTGCTCTAGCCTGGGCAACAAAGCCAGACAGAGCCTTTCTAAAAACAACAACAACCAATCCCAAAACAAAACCTGAGTGTATTAATGTACAGTGAGATTTTATAATAATATCTAGAGAATTTCAGATTATAGCTATGATGACTGAAGCTTATACAAAAAGGTCTTTTTAACTTGGACTGATTTTTCTACGACTGTTTAAGTCCTTGCTGTGTGCTTGGTACTAGTGAATATTATAGTGAATTGTTCCCTACGGTTAGGGAACTTATATTACGCTCTCTAAGAAGGCAGTAGAATGAATGTAAATAATCATAAAGGAAACAGTAGTCATATAAGAGAGGTAGAAAGCAATTTTGGTATTTAGAGGAGGGAGCAGTCATTTGCACACTGGGAAGAAGGTAAGATTAGAGTCCAGTTCTTTTTTTTTTTTTGAGATGGAGTCTCACTCTGTCACCAAGGCTGGAGTGCAGTGGCATGATTTTGATGCACTGCAGCCTCTGTCTCCTGGGTTCAAGCGATTCTCCTGCTGCAGCCTCCCAAGTATCTGGGACTACAGGTGTGCACCACCATGCCCATCTAAGTTGTTTTTTTTTTTTTGTATTTTTAGTAGAGACGGGATTTCACTGTGTTGGCTAGGCTGGTCTCAAACTCCTGACCTCAAGTGATCTACTAACTTCAGCCTCCCAAAGTGCTGGGATTACAAGTGTGAGCTACCATGCCTGGCCTAGGGTCCAATTCTTACAGAGAATCCACAGTGAGAAGGAGGAACCCTGGACATCCCAGTTCTTTAGTGGGTTGTAATATAGGAAATTGAAAATTAAAGGGGTCTTATTAGAAGCCAGAAGGGAATAGCCAAATGAGAAGAGTCCTCTAATGGTCAGGACTTAAAATCCAGACTCCGAACTGTCAAAGTCGGTGGTTCTTAAAGGAACTTTTCAATTTCAGTATTGAAATTTTTACAGTATTTTATTTTATTTTTTGTATTTTTAGTAGAGACGGGGTTTCACCATGTTGACCAGGATGGTCTCGATCTCTTGACCTCGTGATCCACCCGCCTCGGCCTCCCAAAGTGCTGGGATTACAGGCTTGAGCCACCGCGCCCGGCCTACAGTATTTTAAACATTAAAATTTTTTACTGCAAGTTTTTGTACTACATATGTAATTATAAAAAATGAAAACTTTGTATACTTAAAGAATCCAAACTTCAGTTTTTGAATTTTATGTATTTTTTTAAGCTCTGGAAAAGAAACGCATTCCACATTAAACCCTTCACGTTGCACATAAAGGAAACTAAATTCAGAGTTAAAATATGCCTGACCATGGCCATAGGATACAGAATTAGGCAAGAACTTCAGTTTTCAGGCTGATCAGTCCATACTACTACATTCTTGTCAGGTTGAGATCAATCTCTTTGCCCTGAAGATTGCTGATTGTTTAGAGGAGTTTCTTGAGGATAGAGACTATATCTTACTCATTTTATATCCTTCCAACATAGTTAAGTGCTATACAGAATAGGCAGGCAGCACACATTTGTCAAATGAAATGATGGATGGATAGATGGATGGTTTTGGCTTTTGTATTAGGCTCTGAAGGAATGCTAGAGTTTAGCACTGTGGAAATTCTGGGTGTGAGATGTATATGTTAGATTTGCTGAGTATTGGACATCTGAAGGGAAACAGTGAGAAAATACTATAACTGCAGCAGCTCATGCTTTTAATCGCAGCACTTTGGAAGGCTAAGGTGGGAAGATATTTTGATCCCAAGAACTGGATACCAGCCTGAACAACATAGCGAGATCCTGTATAAGAGAGAAAGAAAGAGCGAAGGAGGGGGGGAGAGAAAGAGAAAGAAGGAAAGAAAGGAGAGGAAGAGAAGGAAGAAAAATAATAACCTAGGTAGCTAGGCAGGTAGGGACAGCATTATAGAAACACTTAAATGCCAGGCCAAAGATTTTGGAATTTGTCTGCCACCATGCCAGGCTAATTTTTGTATTTTTAGTAGAGATGAGGTTTTACCGTGTTGTCCAGGTTAGTCTTGAACTCCTGACCTCAAGTGTTCTGCCTGCCTTGGCCTCCCAAAGTGATGGGATTACAGGCATGAGCCATTGCACACAGTTTTCCTGGATATTTTGGAAGGTGATGGTGTTGTTAACAGATACAGTGGTGTTAAATGATGAATTTGAGGTTGTGGTGCCACATGTAGGTGGAAATGTTGAATAGGCTGTTAGACATGTGCTGCTAAATTTCAGAAGTGATGGTGGGTCCAGATTAAATTGGGAGTCATCTGCATGCGAAAGAGTGGTAAAGCCTAGCACAGTGGCTCATGCGTATAAACCCAGTACGTTGGTAGGCCCAGCATTTTTGGAGGCTGAGGCAGGAGGATTGCTTGAACCCAGGAGTTGGAGACCAGCCTGGGGAACATCGGGAGACCCCGTCTTTACAAAAATAAAATAAAATAATTAGCTGGGTTTGGTGGTGCATACCTGCAATACCAGCTACTCAGAAGGCTGAGGTAGGAGGATTGCTTCTGCCTGGGAGGTTGAGACTGCAGTAAGCAGTGATTGCAGTACTCCACTCCAACCTGGGTGACAGAGCTAGACTCTGTCTCAAAAAGAAGAAAAAAGGAGGGAGAGTTAAGTTTTACACAGTTCATATTATAAACTAAGTTAATACCAGCATATGAAATGACACAGTTCATATTATAAACTAAGTTAATACCAGCATATAAAATGAAATAAGTTAATGAAAGGCATGACGTTTTACAGGAAGGGCGCATTACATCATTATTGTAGAGGTTGAGTATTCCTTGTCTAAAATGCTTGGAACCAGAAGTGTTTCAGATTTGGATTGTTTTCAATTTTGGAATATTTACATTATACTGGTTGAGTATCTCAAATCTGAAATGTTCCACTCTGCATTTCCTTTAAGACATGTCAGCACTCAAAATGTTTTGAAAAATGTTAGAGCATTTTAGATGTCAGATTTGGGATGGTCAATCTGTACTATAAACAGAATAGTTGTTTAGCATTAAATAATATTTTGCTTAGGCCGGGTGTGGTGGCTCACGCCTGTAATCCCAGCACTTTGGGAGGCCAAGGCAGGTGGATCACAAGGTCAAAAGTTCAAAACCAGCCTGGCCAACATAGTGAAACCCCGTCTCTACTAAAAATATAAAAACTAGCTGGGTGTGGTGGTGCGTGCCTATAATCCTAGCTACTCAGAAGGCCGAGGCAAGAGAATTGCTTGAACCCAGGAGACAGAGGTTGCAGTGAGCTGAAATCACCCCACCACACTCCAGCCTGGGGGACAGAGCAAGACTCTGTCTCAGAAAAAGAAAAATAAAATAATATTTTGCTTAGCCTACAGTTTGAAATATCCTTAAAAACTTGAATTTGAGAGAAGAATATTGATCTGAATCAGTAGTCCTCTTAGTTGAAAGCCTTGAAGTTTTAAAAGGAATTATCATTTTTTTACTTCTGTATGAGCCTAGAACAGTTAGCTGACTGTATAAATTCTGAATCAGTGAAGGTTTACTATACTTTAACATCCACTTTTAACATTTTTAGTATATTTTCTTAGCAGCAGTATTTGGTGTAAAACTACTCACATGTATACTGTTGGTTTTGCTCTAAGTAACTTTTTGTTTTCATCTGTCTTTTCAGGATCTTACTGGCATAGAATCTATGGATCAGTGTCGCCATACCTTGGAACAGCATAACTGGAACATAGAGGTATAATAGGATGCATTCTGAGCTTATTTCTTTTTCTCTGGTCTGATTAAGAATCAAAACCGTATGTTTTTCCGTAGCAGGCATCTTTTCAGTTGATTTGTTTTTATCAGAATTATGACTCTAAAAATAAGAGAGTGGGAAGGTAAAGAATGTGAGAAAGTTTATAAAATCATAGAAAAATTTGTGACTAAATCCCTCAATATAGTGCCTACCCCTTACTGTTTGTTAGTATCTTGTTGGGAAAACAATTGGTTTTTGTGTGTTTAGTTTTTAACCAGACGTCTTGATGGGAACCTTCTTCTTACATATTTTATAGTTTATTCTTTTGAGGTTGTCTAGGTAATCATGTTCTTGGCATCTCTTTTCCTTGACCATTGAATTAGCTAGAACTTTTAAAACACTGTCAGTTGATAATGGTAATAGAATTTTGTCCTCACTATAATGCCTCTGGTGTGTGTGTGTGTGTGTGTGTGTGTGTGTGTGTGTGTGATGATCTTGCTCTGTTTCCCAGGCTAGAGGGCAGTGGTGTGCTCTTGGTTCACTGCAACCTTTGCCCCCCAGGTTCAAGTGATTCTCCTGCCTCAGCCTTCCAAGTAGCTAGGATTACAGCGCACACCACTGCGCCCAGCTAATTTGTATTTTTAGTAGAGATGGGGTTTTACTATGTTGGCCAGGCTGGTCTCGAACTCCTGACCTCAGATGATCCGCCTGCTTCAGCCTTCCAAAGTGCTGGGATTACAGGTGTGAGGCATTGCACCTGGCCATGCCTCTGATTTTTATGAGCAAGTATGATGTTGGTTGTTGCTATGAGATAGATCCCCAAGGATGTAAGCTCCGTGAGAGCAGAGGTTTGTTTTTAACTGCTGTATTCTCAGCATATTTATTTAACACAGAAATAAATATCTCTTGACTCTTCTCTTCCATTCATAGCATATTAATAGTTTATATTGAGTGGATGTTGAATTTTGTCAAATATCCTTTTGATCTCAAGTTACTGTTTTAATTATTATATGCTATTTAAATAGGGTGCTGGATTCCTAAAACCATATTTCTAATATGATTTAGATATTCTATACATTTTTGAGCTATTAAATTCTAGGCTGTGGCATTATACCAGTGAACAAAATAAGTTCTTACTCTTTTTTAGTTTTTTTGAGACAGGGTCTTGTTCTGTCACCTGGGCTGGAATGCAGTGGCACAATCATACTTCACTCACTGCAGCCTTCAGCTCCGGACTCAAGCGATTTTCCTGCCCAAGCCTCCCGAATAGCTGGGACTACAAACATGTAACACCATGCCCACCTAATTTTTAAATTTTGTATGGAGACGGGGTCTAGCTGTGTTGCCCAAGCTGATCTTGAATTCCTGGGCTCAAGCAGTCCTTCTGCTTCAGCTTCCCAAAGTACTGGGATTACAGGTGTGAGCCACCACATCTGGCCAAGTCCCTACTCTTGTGGAACTTAATTCTAGAGAATTTCAGTTTGTAATAAATGACAGGAAGGGAACATCACACACCGGGGGCTGTTAGAGGATAGGGGTGGGGTAGCATTAGGAGAAATACCTAATGTAGGTGACGGGTTGATAGGTGCAGCAAACCACCATGGCATGTGTATACCTGTGTAACAAACTTGCACGTTCTGTACATGTATCCCAGAACTTGAAGTATAATTTAATAATAATAATAAATAAATGACAAATGAGTGGATAGGAAATGGAACAGAGGATCTGGAGAGTTTTGCTTTTTGTTTTTGTTTTTTTATTTTTAAGAGACAAGGTCTCACTCTGTCACCCAAGCTGGAGTACAGGTTTGATCATAGCTCACTGCAGTTGAACTCTTGGGCTCGAGCATTCCCCTGACCTCAGCCTCAAGTAGATGGGGCTACAGGCCCACACTACCACACCCAGCCCTAGTGTTCAAGTTTTTGTGTGAATGTGTGTTTTCGTTTCTCTTGGGTTTATACCTAGAAATGGACTTTGCTGATTCATATGATGACACTACATTTAACCTTTCGAAGAGCTCCCAGACTGTTTTCGTTTTTCTTTTTCTTTTCTCTTCTCTTTTCTTTTCTATTTTTTTTTTTTTTTTTTTTTTTTTTTTTTTTTTTTTTTTTTTTTTTTTTTTTT